GGATGGGGTTGGGGATGATGGGCAACAGCTGGAAATTGGAATTGGGATCAGGATGGGGTTGGGAATGCTGAGCAGGAGATGGAGGTGGGAATCGGGGTTGGGAATTGTGGGCAGGAGCTGGAAACGGGGGTTGGGATGGGGTTGGGAATTCTGGGCAGGAATTGGAAATTGGAATTGGGGTTGGGATGGGGTTGGGAACTCTGGGCAGGAGCTGTGGGGTGCAGAGGTGGGATAATGGAAGTTTGGGTTCTGCCAGCACTCACAAGGAGCAGCAGGAATTTCAACATTCTTCAGCAGATTTTGGGGAAGGAATTCCTGGCTGGGAGGGTGGGGAGGGGCTGGGATGGAATTCCCAGAGGAGCTGTGGCTGCCTCATCCATGGAAGTGCCCAAGGCCAGGTTGGATCAGCCTGGGACAGTGGGAGGTGTTGGGGCTGGAGCTGGATGGGTTTTGGGGCCCTTTCCCACCCAAACCATTTCAGGATTCCATGGAAAAGCATCTCCCTCCTCTGAGATTTTCCATGGAAAACTTCTGTCATCCCTGATGCTGCAAAAGTCACTTCCAAAGCTGGGCAATAACTCCAGGTGTCCAGAGAAATCCCAGATTCCCGAGAAAAGGAGGGAAACGGCCAATATTGACAGCCCTGGCCAAGGGGACACTGGAATGAGCTGTGCCAGGAGGTGACACAGGGAATGGCCAGGCTGGGCTGGGGACAGTGGCAGGTGACAAAGGCCAGCGTGGGCAGGTGACAAAGGCCATGGAGCGTGGCTCACCTGCAGAATTCCCGGTCGGTCTCATCCAGGGTCTGGAAGATGCAGGTCCGGGTTTCCTCGGTGCCCCAGGTGCGGGGGAGCAGCAGGGTGAGCGTCACCAGCACCGCCCCCAGCGGCTTCATCCTGCCCTGGGGACAAGGGGACAGCGAGGGTCACCCCCAGTGCGACCCAGCACCCCCAGTTCAGCTCCCAGGCCCATCATTTCCTCCTCCAGCTCTTTAATCCCATTTATTCCAGAGCTGAGCTGTTTCCTGCTGCTCCTCCCCGCCAGGAAACCCCAAAACGACCCCACAGCTCAGACGTGCTTTGTCCCCCTCCACGTGGCACCGGGAATGTGCCCACGTGGTGACACCACAGCGATCCTGGGGGACACAGCCCCCATCTCCACACGCTGCTCTCCCAAAAACGATGGAAAATCGGGACCAGGAGCGGCCGTGCTCTGTCCAGGACCATCCCCGAGGACACACGAGCAGCCAGGACACCAGGACATGTTCCCTGCGGGGACCTCGACCCAGCCACCCACTCCAGCGCTTCTCCCACACGGGGACAACTCCGGCCACCCATTTTTAAACCTCGAAGGGGACGAGGGGACACGGGGTTGGGTCCCCCACCCTCCCCTGCCGAGCCCTCACCTCCTGGTGAGGTAGCCACGGGCCACCACAGCAGCCGGGGGGGGCCACCAGGGCCAGTTGTACCGAGCCACTTACCAGGGTCCTGGGGACGGCTGAGCAGCTCCGAGGCAGAGCCCGGAGCTTTGAGGTTGCCGTGGAGATGGTTTCCTTGGAAGGAAGGGACAGAGGGACCGGGAAATGAAAAGTCAAAGCGCAGGGAAGGGGCAGCCGGGGGCTCCAAATCTCCCAACGGGTTTTTAACC